TTCTTTTTTGTTAAGAAATATATTTCCATTTTTTTGTCTTCCAAATTCTGGCGAAGGTCCCTATACTCCAATTGTACTTGATAGAAGCGTTCCTTGGGAACATCGTGTTGTAACTCAGTGGGTTGAAGATACAAGGAGATTTCCCTTTCAAAAGGCAACATAAGAGTTTTGACTCTTTCCTTCAACCAATCCATGTAAGGATCGAAAGTTAATACCTCTTTTAGCCCGAAGAATTATTTTCCCTTCCTTCCAACATGTGCCCAAGCAATCTCCACCTTCTTCAGTAATTCTGGATCTTCTCCTTTTTTGAAATACATAGGTTCAACCTCCTTGGTCGTGGGTGGACGCCTCATGGCATAATCTACTTGGCGAAGAGAGAGTACTGGATTTTAGTTGATAACCCCTTTTTTCCCATGAGCGGAACATTAGAGAAACCTGCATAGTGAGAGATGACTTCGGAGAAATCCACCTTAAGTTTGTACCTTTGGATATCGAAAGAGGTGAGTGTCATCACTTTGGATGCCTATGAACGAGGGACTCCTTTGAATGGCCCTTTGGTCGATAACTGTGCCATGAACCATTTGTAAATCATAGGTGTACAACATACCACTACTCCTTTCTTTCCATGCCTGGAGTGGATGGCGTGGTAAGTATCCGCTAATAGCGTATGTATAGGATTCGTATTCATGAAAACGCAAAGAGAAGACAAGTATACGATTTCTTTAATCTTAGGGAATAAGACAACTCCGTAAATGATAGCAGCCAACAGAGCATAATAAGCATCCCAATTTCCTGCGTTTGCCATTTCCTTAGCCTTGCTTACCAAGAAATCTACAGGAAGACCACAAGTGACTTTGTTACGTCTCCATTTCCCTTTTACATTGTTAAGGCTCAAATAAAGAACCTTAGCAATGGCCTCAAAGTCGGGCTCAATAGGGACTTGAACAAATGGAACATGACTGGTGAGCTTAATGTGGAGAAGATGGGCATACTCCTCAAGAGTAGGTGCTAACTGGTAGTCTTGAAATGTGAAACAACGTAATTCCGGATCATAAAATTGTAACAAAGTCTGTACAACCTTATCATCAACCCGAGCATTCAATAAAGATAGGAGATTCCCATATCTTTCACCAAATATTCCCATTTGTTGACAATTCATGAGGTCTCTGAGCTCTTCAAGAGAGGGACAAATACTAGGACGAAACTGATAGCTGAAGTTATCCCTCTTTGTCTTTAGGATGATATCAATGTTGTTTGACATTCTTTAGAGGAAAAGGAAGCCCTGGAGAGATCCTGGAAATGACAATGCGCATGCGAATTAATTATCGACATATATATTTTTTGAAAAGTAAATATGCTATGATGTGTGTACAAATGATCATGGGGTTACTACTTCCATGATATTGATTCCTGTTGTACTGCCTCTTCACATTCTGTTAATACCGAGATTACAGGTCTGAAACGTAACCGGAAGAAATCCATGAAGATCATAGTTGGATCCTCAGAAAATAAATCTGAGAACCTCATAATTGTTGGCAGAAATCCAGGACATAACCAAAAGTAATTGTCTGAATATAGTCACCAATTATACCTGTGGTAAGAATTCCCTCCGCACTCACGTGTGAAAACTAGGTCAGGGTGAGATAATGGTAACTCGAAAATCACGGGTTCGCCTGAAAGTAAAATCATCACAACACAGACGTGCATGATAAAAGTACCTCCAGTTGAACCTCATCTGAGCGTGGTATAGACATGACTGCACTAATCGGACCACGTCCTATAGCCGTCATGCCCCTACTTTATTCCTAGGTGTCCTACTGCACTCTGGCCTAGGTACTGGGCCTTTTACCTCAATAGTAACATCCCCACCCAAACAAGAAGCAGATCCAGTACAACAGCAGTATATGGAAGACAGTAAAGTGTAATGCATACATATGCTCAAGTATATACAAAATGAGTGAATAAACTGAAAGCATAAAAATAAACACCCAAAGAAAAGAAAGCAAGAGCTAGGAGCGACTCCGGGATGGACCAGCATTTGGTCGACCTGTCCCCAGTGAAGTCGCCAGCTGAAACAACCTGCTGAAAATCATCAAACAATGAAATCTCCATTGAACGTCTTTTATCCCACATGAAGGGAACAGTAAACATCGAGAAAACCTAAGAAGGGAAAAGTCACGGTCTTGCGACCGAGAGATAAAGGTAAGGGAGTCTGTTACACGAGGGGAAGGTATTAGCACCCCACACGCCCGTAGTACTCTACGGTATCCATTCTTGTTATCTATCTTATGGGTGTGTTCAATCTTTGCTTACCGTTTACTATACTACTGAAGGGAGAATGCATGCAAAAGAAATGAGAAAGGGATGTAGGGAAAATAAAAATTGTGCTCATTCGGGCCCTACCCCGATGCCTACGTATCCCTTTTAAGGAATCAGAGCAGCCGTAGTTCGGCTCATATGTTTTTTGTTTGTATTTTTTAATGAACAGTATTAATTTCTCCTTCTGCCGCAACTCGACCTTCGGAGACTTACGCGTCAGCACAGAAGTGAATTAACATATTCTTTTTGAAAAAGTTTTGAAAGAAAGGCCCGAAGGCAAAAAGAGTTTGTGTTTGTTGGTGTTTTTGCTTGTAGATAACGGTTAGTTGACCTCAAGAGAGAGATTTTAGCCATTTCTCTACTTATTCATGAAATAAGTCTTTGAGACTTGAACCATACCAAAGCTTATAATAAGAGAACAATAAGGTAGAGAAGAAACCCGCTTATCATCTCTCATGCTTAACAAAGGTATGATTCTCGTCAGTAAAAATTTTAAGTATTTTGAAGTTTGTGAGAAAAAGAAGTTTTTTGTTTTAGATGCATATGCAAAGAGGGAAATAAAAGTCATGGGGACTAGCCTATTTCTAAATCTAATGTTATCATACTTCACACGATCCCTAGGAAGCGATAGATGCGGAGTGAAAGTAGAAAGAAAATATACCAAACGAGTATTAGCCCGTAGAGTAAAGCAAAAAGCAAAGAAATTCGATGATCTCGCGAGCTACTAGTATCAATAAAGAAAAAGAGTCAGAAGTTGAACATGCAGTGTAGGTATCGAAGCGCCATTGACGTGAAACTAAATCACAATCTAAAACTCAAGCATATATGCATATCCTGCATAGTATTCAAACCTCAACAGTAAAAGTAGGTTAGAAATCGTAAGAATTTGAGTAATCAGTATTTAATTCCTAAAAAAAACAAAGATCAAAAATCTAACTCATTTTATTGATGTTACTATTTTTATCATATGAAGAAAATTCCCAATAATCAAAAGCAAGAATTACCAAGAAAAAGAAACCAGGGGGTGTATTATTCTGGACAGGGATTGAATCAGTAATTAAAACCAAGGCCCATCATGAAGGTCCACTCCTTTTTTTCCCTTCAATTCCTAATATGCTTACAAAAATAACAAACAAACTGTAATGGGCTTCAGAGGGTAATCCAGCCCAACGCAAACCTTTCCAAGTCCACTCAATCAATTTTTGGTATTATTGTTTGATTAAAAAAACAATTAACGATGTCAACAAAAAAAGGAAAATAATAATTAAGAGGAATTTAGGGTTCTTATTGCGTCCTTTCAGCTTTGTCTACTCGCAAACTCTATCCTCCCTTCTTCTTCAACCCGCCGGCGCAATCTCCGAAACCCCTTTGGCTGCACCGATTTTTTTCTAACGCTATAGCCCCCGTCACCTTTATCTATTCACCATCCTCCACCGCGAACCCTCTATATCACACGCCTCTCTCTACGGATAACACTGTTGTTATGGTGTCAAGATCCCGAACCACTGTTTATCTCTTTCAACAGCTTCCTCTGAGCCTCAGCCAATCATCACAATCGCAATCGAACTCTAGTATGAAGCTACGAAAATCAAGGCAAAATAGCGAAGAGATGGAGTTTAGGGATCTTACCAACCGGAGTATGACTGGCGCTTCTTCAATGCTTTTGTAAAGAAAACAATTTCATAGATAATCTGGTAGGTAATTTCCAATCTCGCGCGTTAGAACTTCGATCTTCACTTCTCTTTCTTCTTCTTTTTTTATTTCTGTCACGCGTTTTTATGTTGATGCCTCTCGTGATTGTTGCGATGTTGATCGTTATGCATTTTATTTGTCGTTTGATGCCGAAATGAAGATTGAGTGATGGAGATTTTGCAGAGAGAGAGTGAGTGAATGAAGATGAAGGCAAAGGGGGTCAATGTGAAGAGCGAAGGTTGATGATTCCGTGTTGAAGCGAGGTAAGGAAAAAGACGCAGAGTTGATAGAGGATCTTTGTAGAGAAATAATGGCCAAGGAGGATCTAAGAGAAATGAAGGTTTTTTTAAGGTACTGATAAGTAGCCAGGGTGAAGAGGAATGCAGAGATCCTTTTATTGGTGAGCTCTTTTCTCTGATTCTGATTTTTGCTTTTGAACCATCATCTATATTTTCCTCTCTTTCTGTATTCTATTATATAGATTTTCTGTTGAGAAGTTTGTTACAGAGTTCAGTTAGGACAATTTGAGAATTGATTAGTTGGAGTTAGTTAGGAAGAGATTCTGTTTTCTGTTAGGAAGTTAGCTCTGTTGGAAGTTGGTTAGAGTGGTTACTCTGTTAGAGTTTGTTAGAACTGTTAGCTTCTGTTAAGATGAGGTTAAATTTAGGGAGTTAGTTACAAAATTATGTCTGAAGTTTTTTATGGAGCTGTTATAAGTTAACTAGGGATTTGTTAGAGTTAGTTAGGAAACGGTTAGAGGTAGTTAGTTAGGAAGAGTTAGTTATGAGCTAGCAATTTTTTTTGTCATTTTTTGGAAGTTAGTTGGAGGGATATTTCAGTTATGACAGTTGGTGAGGGTTTGTTGAATTCGGTTAGAAAATAGTTAGTAGGTTAGAGGAAGTTTGTTAAGTTCTGTTGGAAAGTTAGTTCTTCTATTTAGAAAAAAAAGGTTAGGGGATTGAGTTCTGTTAGGATATTCTGTTAATTTTCTATTTTTTTATTCCTGTGTCATCCTTTAAGGGAGCTAGTGCATTCAAGTGTAAACCGATACCCGGCAAAATGCCCTTTTGTGAATTTGCATTGCGTTTTGCAGGGAGCAGTTGTTTATCGTCGGAAACATTCCTTGCTTCAGATTGCACTGTACTAGATCCAGTGTTAGAATTATCATCGGAGTTCTTTCGTACACCGACCATCTCAAAGTCAAGACAGCGCCTCCGAATACCACGGTGTGTGATAAAAACAAGATGATTGTCCATTTTCTCATTTGGATTGCTAGTCAAGAAAGAACCATTAGCAAGACTGTCCTATGTATGTTCAGTGTCCACTGCCCCAACTAGCTCAGAACAATGATTTTCAATTTCATGTTCAGAAGCAGAAGCAACTGAATCAACCATGTGTATGTTCTGATCATTATTACAGGAAGATTGCTGAAGGGGCACAAAATCACAAAGTCTTAAAGAAGATCCCAATGGTTTCTGCATTAGACCCTTAAAAGCTTTTTCTTTAATTAACAAATCAGCACCATTGTGAAGTAAACCATCCCAATCAGTCTGAGCCTTCACCCTTTGAATCCACCTGACTTGTTCCATTATTGGGCTAAAACGAGAACTGAAATACTCAAGTGCTTTAGTAATTAGACAAAATCTGTTGAACTGTTCTTTTTCTTTGAATTATTGACTTCTAATGCTTATTCTGGATAATTGAATTATGAACCAAAACCGCTTCAGATTTCAATATTTAAACCGGTTCTGTTTTTGTGATGAAATATTTGAGCTTCTGATTATTATTTTTGTTATATGGAGCAGGTTTGTCACTTGATTTGATTGATATGGCAGCCGCGTCAAAGTCCTGCTCAGCTGCTTCATCCTGTTGGGCCAACATTTAAAAAACCACAACTTGCGTCTGTAGTAGTGATTTTATCCTTTTCTATTTCTGTTGTTTTTACTTTCTGGTATAGACATAATGCATGGATGATTTACAGTTTTTTTTTGTTTTAAAATCATGGATTGTTGAACCATGTTTATGGACATAGCAGGGCTGTCATATTTAGGTTAAAATTCGGTGCAGACCTGGAATCTTTTTGTCACTACTTCAGCGATCGTATGCAGAGCCGGTTGAGTTTGAAACAGGGCAGCAGGGTATTTTGAAGAATGTAGCAGATCGGTTCATTGGGGCATGAATATCGACGAATACATGAAGAAAAAGAATTAATGTTAGAGATAAGCATAGCACGGTGGTGATGGATAGTCAAAAGCTTGGCATGGAGATTGGAATACAAAATTTGCATGAAGAAAGATTGGAGATTTTAAGTTTTTGATAATTTTTCATGTAATATTCTTGCGTGTAGTTTCCTATGATTTTGTAATGGTTTTTCTTGAATTTAATTGAATCGACAAAAATGGTGTATAGAATTTTGAAATTGGAATAACTTATGGTGAATTTGGAATTTTCTTGAATATGGGATGAAGAATTTTTGAAAGGATGAATGGAACTTGAATGTTATAGTGTGAACTGTAAATGGCTTTGCGCTTATAAATTCTCTTGAAACCAAGGTAATGCAGTATGATCTTGCATACCAATGCAACTTTGGAAATTCTTGAATCAAAATGACAAATTATCAAGGGTGCAAACTACTTTTTTTATTTTATTTTTAGTTTCCCGAGAAAGAAGTGTCTTCCTTTCTTCTTGAATTTGATACCCCAAGTCCTTTATTGACCTTGTATTTATGAAATCCCAATGTCTCACATTTTATCAATTTAGATGAACTCTCCTATTTGAATATCTTCAAATGATCGAATATAGGTTTCCTTAAGTCAACTTGAATGAATCCATACTTAGACGTCTGCATGCCCTTAGCTCAAAAAACCCTAATCTTCCATACAAAGCTTTTTAGATTTTGATCTCAAAGCATTTAAATGAAATCCGGAAAAAAATAGATTGTACTTCAAGTAAGCCAATCAACCAGATGAAGAGCTTTGCATTATAAGGCATACAAACCCTAATTAGTGAAGAAGGTCCAACTGAATCTTCTTCTCTAGAATAGGACTGTTTCCAACATAACTAGAGATCCAAGCAACGATTTTCTTCTTATTTTCCAAAGGTATATAAGTTGAAACCCTAGTTATTCATGGACGATATCCCCCAATGATATCCTTGCCTGATAATCACAATTTCACAGAGAAACCTCTCTTGAATGGTACATGATTTAGAGAAATAAACCATAATCAAAGGATGACGTTGAGCACAAGGAGATAACGAATGCCTAATTTAGTAGCCCTTAGCTGACCTCGTAGAACAACTTGGAAATGAACATGGGAATACATAAATAAATATGACCAAGATGGCCATGATTTAGAAAACCTAATGAACCTCAGTTGATGAAATGCTAACAAGCACAAACTTGGTGGAGAAAAACTCTGACTCTTGTCTTGAATGTATCTGAATGAGTAATAACCCCCTTAAATTGAAGAGAACAGAACCCTCAATAAGCATAGGTTGCAATTCTAATTCCACATTTCACTACTTGAAGGATAATCAGAAGAATCAGGCTTTATTGGATATGAACACCTTAACCGTTGCGAAACCCTAATATCACGCAACCACTGAACTTCGAACCTCAAGAACTTTATTGAATGCAAATGTATTATAATGACCTAATGAAAAGATATGAATGAAATGCTAAGCCTAAGCAAAATATAAGAAATTAGGAGGGCAAATTTTGGGGTGTAACAAGTAGGTGTCAGATCGACATTGTATTGATACTGATGATAAAAAGCAGTGGCTAGATCTTCCCATGTATGGATGCGGAAACCCTCCAATTGATAGAACTATTCTAGTTGAGTCCCAGCCAGACTCTCTTAAAAGAAATGGACCCAGAGCTTTTTGTCAGTAGTGTGCGACTGTATCTTGCGCACGTAAGACCTTAGATGAAGTTTCAGGCAGGAAACTCCGTCATACTTGGCAAAGACCGGTATTTTGAACTTATGGGGAATGAAGACCCCAGGTACTAAACCCAACTTACCAAAATCCAAACCAGGCACGGCTTGAATTTCAACAGCTTTCAGTCTATCCTCTAACTGCTTGTATTTATCCTCGGCAGGTGGGTATTGTTCATCAAAGTAGTCTTCATTTTCAGAAGCTTGATCATTTTCACCCCCATCATGGGTGCTCCTTGCCTCTTCGTCTTGATTTTTGTCCTCCTCAGACGACTCTTAGACTATTTGTACCTGACAAACCGGACCTTTGAATCTCTTACCCATGCTGATGAAGGCCTTATTTTTGGTCTTCTTCTTGGCTACTAGCATAGTCATCATCTCTTGTTGCCCCTTGGCCGCGGTAAGCAAGGTCTCTTGGAAATGGGAATTCTGTGCTTGCAAGTCCTTCACTATTTGTTCGATATCCATCTTACTGAAATAAACAGTAGAAAGATAAGGAAGCTTGTTGTGGAAAAACTATTTATGCTATGATGCATGAAAATGCGTATTCAAATGATTTCAAGGACTTAGAAGATTTAAATTTCTTTAGACAAAAGGAACAAACATCAATTGCATTTATAAGTTCAAATTGGTTAGAAACATGCCTCTTGGGCTTACAATAAATACAAAATAAACTCCTAAGATAAAAAGGTCGAGTGCATTCTCTTCTGTGCAATGTAGTCGTTCAAACTTTGCTCTTCATGAAGTTGTCTCGTAAGCTCCAAAGCCTTCTTTTCATTTGCGTAGAACTGGGTTTCGAAGGTGTCTCGTTCTTCCTTTAGCTGAATCTAAGCTCTTTGCAAATCTTCAAGAGAATTAGGCATGTTAGGATAAAGGACAGTATACGGAACATCTTCTTTGGCAACAGGCTCCATGATGATAGGTAGCATGGCTTCATAAGGCATCATGAGGTTTTAGGTGCGATTTTGCACCCACTTGAGATAAGGCTCCAAAGGAATGGAGTTCTTATGCCCCAACGTCTTGCTAACAACCTTGTTAACCATACCCCAAGCTCGTATGAATCTCTGACGATAACCTTGGACATCATTCTCGTAGTCAAATGCAATTTCTTGGACAAGTGTATCATGAGGGCCATCCCTCCTAGCATACCCAAACTATCGCAAAGCCAAACAAGGATTGTAGGTGATACCTCCCCTAATTACAAATATATGGACATTATGGAATTCCCTACAACGGTCAATAATAGTGAGGTCCTCCACAGATCGTGCACACTAATTAATATCAGAATGTATGAGTGACATTAATCTTTGAGACCATGTCAAGCCTTGCTCATTCTTCAATGTTGATCGAGGTAGGTGTGAAACAAACCATCTAGAGAGTAATGGAATGCAACACAAATAAGTAACCCTTTTCTTCATGGTGCGAGTGTGGAAACAATGTAGAATGTCTCCAAGCAAAGTAGGTATGGAATTACGAGAGAGAAAAACCTTGATGGCATTCACATCTATGAGTTGGTCCAGATTTGGAAATAGAACCAAACCATAGATTAGAAGGGCCAAGACATCCTCAAAAGCTTGAAAATCCAAATCTTCCCAGAACAAACGAACCTTCTCCAATAGAAACTTGGCTAAGAAACCCTTAACTCCACATCTTGTCTCCCTATTTTCCATAATGTCAGATCTCCTCGAATGCAAAGCTTTAGAAATGACTTCGGGTTTTGGAGTCTCTTCTAAACCGATGAACAATATTTGATCAAGAACGGGAACTCCTAACAACTGAGATAATTCTTCTAATTTAGGCACCAATTGGTAGTCGTGGAAGGTGATGCAATGATGCATAGGATCAAAGAATTGGAAAAGCACACACATCATTTCTTCTTGGAAGTTTGAGGTAGCCAAGTTGAGAAGTCGACCATATTTCTTGGTGAAAGGAGAATCTCCAGACACTCTTGATGCTAACTCTTGAATTTGAGGATGCACTTTCACAAAGTTGACTCAGATGGTATTCCTATGACTGGAAGTCATGACCTACAAAACAGAACAAAGATAAGTTACTAAATCCTTGAAATTCTTAGTGAGAATGATTTATGATGTTATGATGCTTATGATGACATGAATAATAATCACAAACAAAGCATACAAAGACCTTAGGGTTAGGCTTGCATGGGTTTCATAGGTAAGTACCCTCTTGAAGTTTAGTTGGTTCAACCTATCCTAGAAAGTAATTGGGTTCTAGGGAATCTCAATATCATTGATCTTTCTTCATTGGGCATTGTTTTAGCACAATCAATATTTTCTCGCACCTAAAACATCCCAAAAGTCTGATCTCAATGAGCGCATTATCAAGTATCAACCAATTTTCAGCTTTCCATCGAAATCGGCTATCTCACTACTTCCCAATGCCCAAGTTGTTCAATTAAAGGTTCTAAGGTTTGTTACTGCTTCATGACATCACTGAGTGGCCCCGTATTCTCCTTAATTCTCCATAAGGGATACCGGTACCCATAAATATATCACACTAACATAGATATTGTCTTAACCATATCAGTCTACGTTGTACAGTCTCCACAATCTTTGTTATTTATCTAATGGTGTTCCCAGATCCGGGTAGAGGATAAATACAAACCCAAACAAGGACCCATAAAATGTAAAGCA